AATCACCTCTTCCTCCCAGGCTCCCCATTTCAGTAATAGCCTCTCAGAGCTGAGAACCCAAGCATATGGTAGTACCTTCCCCCCTCTCCTCAGTCAGTCCCTCATCAAACACTGTCTGTTTCTTCTTCCTAAATACCATTTCTACCGCCCTCTTCTCCAGGTTCCTGGCCCAGCTCAAGTTCCACTTTGTTTCACCTGAGCTATTGCCCCAGCCTCCTCCTCCACCATCCCACCCTGGATCCATTCTTCCCTCATGCAGATCTGATCCTGCCCTTCCCTGCTGAAGTCGTTCCGTAGCCCATGCCCTAATGCCTGTAGGCACTATCACAGCCCCTGGGTCTGGCCTTCATGATCTGATCCCACCTACATTCCTACTATCAGCTCCCTCCTTACCCTCCAGTCTAAGCCTCTGAATATACCTGGTCAACAGAAGACCTTCATAAAGATCAAATGAACTACTGCAACCAATCTCTGCCCCACAGAAGGCCATCTTGTCCATTTCTGTAGGGGCCAGCCCTACGGGGCTTAGCGGGTGTTCTTCCCGTGTGTGGAGATGAGGGATTGTGATAAATGAAGGCACTAGACAAAGAGATAAAGAGAAAGCAGCTGGGCCCAGGGGACCACTACCATCAAGACGCGGAGACCGGTAGTGGCCCCGAACGGCTGGGCTCGCTGATACTTATCGCATACAAGACAAGGGGGCGGGGTAAGGAGGGTGACTCCTTTAAGTGGTTCACAAGGTGAAGCAAGTCATGTGATTACAGGATAGGGGCCCCTCCCGTTTTAGGTAGCCGAAGCAGAGAGAGAAGGCAGCATACGTCAATGTTTTCTTCTCTGCACTTACAAGAAAGAGCAAAGACTTTAAGACTCTCACTATTTTTTCTACCGCTATCTACCATGAACTTCAAAGAGGAACCAGCAGTATGGGAGGAGCATGAAAGTGGACAAGGAGCGTGACCATTGAAGCACAGCACCACAGGGAGGGTTTAGGCTCCGGATGACTGCGGGCAGGCCTGGATAATATCCAGCCTTCCACAAGAAGCTGGTGGAGCAGAGCATTCCCTGACTCCTCCAAGGAAAGGAGACTCCCTTTCGCGGTCTGCTAAGTAACAGGTGCCTTCCCAGACACTGGCGGTATCGCTTGACCAAGCAGCCCTCAAGCGGCCCTTATGCGGGTGTGACAGAAGGCTCACCTCCTGCCTTCTGGTCACTTCTCACAATGTCCCTTCGGTACCTGACCCTATACCCGCCGGTTATTCCTAGGTTACATTAGTAATGCAACAAAGAGTAATGTTAAAAGCTAATGATTAATAATATTTATAATAATGATTGATAATTGTCCATGATCATCTCTATATCTAATTTGTATTATGACTATTCTTATTCTAACTATTTTCTTTATTATACTGAAACAGTTTGTGCCTTCAGTCTCTTGCCTCGGCACCTAGGTAATCCTCCACCCACACATTTTTCCCCGACCTCAGGAGAATCACAAATACACAAATATATATAAGCCCTACAAAACTCCCGGATCAGGCCGGGTGGGTGGCTCACGTCTGTAATCCCAGCACTTTGGGAGGTCGAGGCGGGTGGATCACGAGGTTAGGAGATCGAGACCATCCTGGTCAACATGGTGAAACCCCGTCTTTACTAAAAATACAAAAATTAGCCAGGCGTGGTGGCAGCTGCCTGTAGTTCCAGCAACTCATGAGGCTGAGGCAGGAGAATTGCTTGAACCTGGGAGGCAGAGGTTGTAATGAGCCGAGATCATGCCACACTGCACTCCAGCCTGGGAGACAGAGCGAGATTCCATCTGAAAAAAAAAAAAAAAAAAAAAAAAAAAAAATTCCATGATCAGCCGCCGCGGAGGCTCACGCTTGTAGTCCCAACCCTGGGAGGATAAGGCGGGAGGATCGCTTAAGCCCAGGAGTTCAAGACCAGCCTGGGCAACACAGCAAGACTTCGTCTCTATTTAAACAACAACAACAACAAAAAGTTTTAAAGAAAAATCGATGATCGCACAACCCCCTATCTGCATCTACATCCGCAAAAGCAATTGGGGAGAGATACCGAAAGGGAGGGAAGGGTTCCCGTGGAAGGGGAGAAGGAAGGGCCAGCTGGGGCACACACTCTCGTTGGGTGAGGAAAGGCCTCCTTTTCATTTCTGCAGCGTCCACTTTTGAGCTCCAGCCCACTCCATTGCTGTCTTCTTAAAGGGCGCCTCGCCCACCCTTCTCTCCCATCCCATGCCTGAATCCCTTCTGGAAAGCACCCGAGAGAATAGCTATAGAACTCTGGGGTGATACGTTGGTTAACTCGGGGAAGAACCCAAGGGCACTGGACTAGAACGTGGTGGGATTCCCAGGTCAGTTTCGGGGCCATCCCCGCCGCCTATCCTTCGCGCTAGGTCACCTGGAGGTGGCTGGAAGGTCAGTGGTCTCCACATTTAGGGAGACTGGTTACGAGAGGACTCGGATTCCCCCACCTTCCCTTCGGCTTTGGGAATCCCAGGAAACCCGCCCCGAACCCCTAAAGAGTCCCAGAGAAGGTGTGCTGGACGTCCAGAGTCCCTCCCAGGCGCCGCCGCAGCGTCCCGCCCAGCCTCGCGGGGCACGCCGGGAGACGGAGTTCTCGGCCACGTCCCAAGAGTGGCTGGTCCGCAGACTCGGACTACCAGTCCCAGAAGGCACTGCGCCCGCAGCCTAGGGCGGGCCGTGGTTGCCCCTGGCAACAGAGCCGGTCTCCCCGGAGCGGGGACTGGGCAGCGCTCCCGAGCCGGGGAGGCGCAGAGCCAGACCAGAGAGAGGCGGGGACGCGGGTAGAGCAACCAAGAGGTGGGGAAGCCGGAAGAGACTGACCGCGCCGGCCCTCAGAGAGACCCCCTTCCTGAGAGGGGGCGCACAGAGAGGATGCCGGAGCCAGCGAGATCTAGAGAGAGGAAGACAGGGATTGAATCACAGAGACACTCAGGGGGAGGGAGAGCCCTCAGAGACAGAGAGATTCACAGGGCCGGAGAGGCACGAAGAGTGGGTCAGAGAAGAGGGCAGAGGACAGAGGCATAGAAAAGACAGGAGGGAGAGAGACTGAATCACAGATACACAGGGAGCGAGGGAGAGACCTCAGAGATGGAGAGAGACTCACAGGGCCAGATAGACACATGGAGTGAGTCAGAGAAGGGGACAGAGAGAAACAGAGACACAGACACAGAAGAGGGAAGAGGGAGAGAAACTGAATCACAGAGACACAGAGAGGGAAGTCTCTAGAGCCCCTCGAGAGCGATTCAGAGAGCCAGAGACAGAGATTCAGAGAGCCAGAGACACAGAGAGATCATAGAGACATAGAGAGAGATTCAGAGAGCCTGAATTACGGATTCACAGAGCCAAGGAGACAGAGGATTCATAGAGCCACAGACACAGAGAGATTCGGAGAGTCAGAGACATCGAAAGACATTCATAGAGCCAGAGACACAGAGAGATTCAGAGGCAGAGAGACATAGAGAGACATTCATAGAGCCAGAGACACAGAGATTCAGAGTCAGAGAGACATAGAGAGACACTCATAGAGCCAGAGACACAGAGAGATTCAGAGAGTCAGAGAGACAAATAGATTCAGAGAGCCAGAGACCCAGAGAGATTCAGAGAATCAGAGAGACAAATAGATTCAGAGAGCCAGAGACACAGAGAGATTCAGTTAGAGAGACAAATAGATTCAGAGAGCCAGAGACACAGAGAGATTCAGAGTCAGAGAGACACAGAGAGACACTCATAGAGACAGAGACCCAGAGAGATTCAGAGAGTCAGAGAGACAAATAGATTCAGAGAGCCAGAGACACAGAGAGAGTGAATCACAGCCACAGAGGGACAGGGACATCCCCAGAAACAGAAGGAGATTCACAGAGCCAGAGAGACAAACAGAGATTGGGTCAGAGAGAAAGGGACAGAGACAGAGATAGAGAAGAGAGGAGGGAGAGAGACTGAGTCATAGACAGGAGAGAGACCCCCCTAGCGTCAGAGAGAGAGAGATCAACAGAGCCAGAGAGGGACAGGCACAGAGAAACAGATGGAACCAGAGAGATATGGGAAGAGACAAACAAAACCAGAGACGAGTTGCAGAGCCGGAGAAAGGGAGAGAGACAGAGACAAAGGCATTTATAAAGACAGGGGTGGAGGTGAGGAGAGAGAGGGAGAGACAGGGGCAAGCATTTAGAGAGTGACCCCCAGAGAGGAAGACAGAGATGAACTCCGAAAGAGATCAAGTCGCAGAGGGAGGGAGAGACAGAGTCGCAGCCTTAGAGAGAAGAGAGATTTACAGAACCGGAGAGACAAATAAAGACAGGGAAAGGAACAGACTCAGGGAGACAGAGGCGGAAGAATTTATCAGACATAGAGGGAGAAACAGAGGGAGACTGACTCACAGACAGACCAAGACCCCGAGAAGGACCACGACACCAAGACCCAGAGATGGCGACAGATACAGATGGAGACACACAGCCGAGGAAAGAGAGAAATAGAAAGAAATAGAAACAGCATTTCTCGGAGACAGGGAAAAGAAAACAGATCCACTGAGAGGCAGAAAGAGAGACACGTCGAGAAAGGTCGCTCCAGGAATAGAGGGAGAGGGACAGAGGTCACAGGAAAGATACTCGCGGGCAGAGACAGCCACACAAATAATGGAGAAGCCAGGGGGAGAAATAAAGACTCAGCTGGCATCAGAGAAAGCGAGAACCCCAGCAGCCTCCCTGTCCACTGCTGGACCCTAGCGTGGAGCATAAAGTTTGTTGAAGGAAGGAGAGGGGCAGGGTCAGACACAGGGACCCCAGGGCGCCCACAGGACACACGAGGCACCCTAGTGGGGGAGGAACACGGGGCAGGATGACAGATTGCAGGGTAGTGGGGGGGAGCCAGGCTCAGAGGATGCCCCTCCCTCCAGCCAGCCCCCGGAGTGGGTGTGTGCACGTGTAGGGGGCAGGGAGGGAGGACATTTGTCCCGTGTCTCCGGGAGGGGAGCGCCTTTAAGCCGAAACCCCGCCCTCTCTGTCGTCCTGGCAACGCCTCCCCCTACCCGGGGCTCCCACATTTCAGCAGGTGCCGGAGCTGGAGCTCCCACCGCCGCCGCCCGTGCCTCCGGCTCCCGGCGCCGTGCCTTTGGCTCTTCCTCCCCACTCGCCCGCTCCCCCTGGCGGAGCCGGCGCACCCGGGGGTGCCGCTCCCTGCCTGGCGCGCTCCGCACCTGGAGGTGCCTTGCCCCTCTCCTACCCACCTCGGAATTTCCCTGTGGCTCCTTTGATCCTTCGAGTCTCCGGCTCCTTTCCCTTCCACCTGTTTCCCCCAAGGAAGGCAGGATCCTGGTCCCTGCTACGTTTCTGGGGCCATGGCTGGTCTGGGCCCCGGCGGAGGCGATTCAGAGGGGGGACCCCGGCCCCTGTTTTGCAGAAAAGGGGCTCTGAGGCAGAAGGTGGTCCACGAAGTCAAGAGCCACAAGTTCACCGCTCGCTTCTTCAAGCAGCCCACCTTCTGCAGCCACTGCACCGACTTCATCTGGTGAGGGAAGGGGGCTAGGGGGCTGGGGGAGGAGGGGACTAGGGGTGCAGACTCCTGTCACGCAGACCCCTGTGGAAGGAAGAAGGAGGGGGCTGTAGCCCCGACTCCCAGGTTCTAGGATGGCCGGGGAACGCTGGGAGCCTCGACTCCTGGATTTGAGGGAGGAGGAGGCTGGTTCCTGGAGTCCTGGGTCTGAGGGAGGAGGAGGCTGGAGGACGGAGGTCCTGGAGTCTTGGGTATGAGGGAGGAAGGGGCTGGGGGGCTGGGAGCCTGGATTCCTGGGTCTGAAGGAGGAAGAAACCGGGGGCTGAACTCCGGTCTAAGGGAAGAAGGGCTGGGGGCCAAAATTCCTGGGTTCTAGAAAGAGGAGGCGGCCGGGGCTTGGACACCTGGGCCCTGCGGGAGGAGGGTCAGAGAGCGCAGGCCCCCTGTGGCTCGCAGAGGTTGGGGGTCCAGGTACCCCTTTCTGCACTGACCTAGGATCCCTGACTTTTCCAGGGGTATCGGAAAGCAAGGCCTGCAATGTCAAGGTAAGAACTGGGGACCAGAGCTCCTGGGACCCTCAGGCGGGTGGAGGCTGGGCCCTCACAGCTGAGGCTGCTTGACACACGTGTTCTCTGGTCCCCAGAGAGGCGCGGGGGAGCCCGGGGCGGGGGGTGTGGCAGACACACAGCCTGTGGTGGGGAGGGAGCTCTGATGGTGGGGCCACCGCGGAGGTGGTGCTGGGGGCCCCTCCCTCGGCCGGCTCCAGGTGGGGACAGATATTTGGAGAATCTGTTGCCATGGGAACAGGGAGATTTGGAAAAGGGGAGCTGAAGGGGGGAAGGGGGAGGGGGCTGGAGATGCAAAGTCAGAGCCCCCCCCCACCCCAGACTGCTGTCGCCATGACAACACCAGCCGTCCTAGGCAGGGGCAGGCCGGGTGGGGTCACCGATGGGCGAGTGGGGGCCGGGCGGGGCCGGCAGTTCTGGGGGGCGGGAGAGGGGGGCGAGTCCTTGAGCACCAGCTGCCACTGCTGAGAACAGAGTGAGTCAGGGTGGGGGGCGGGCCGGCACAGCGCCCCCAGACTCACTTCTGCCCAAGTTGCTGCTTCCTGGGTTGCGTCTGAAGATATTTCGGTTTTTGCTCTTTGAATCTGTCTGCCTCTCTCCTCGCTTTCTGATCTCGGTCCGTGGGCCTGTGTCTGTTTGTCAATGGGATCTTATTTTCTTTCTCTCTTTTTCCATCTCCCTTCCTTGGGCTCTGTGCTCTGTGTCTCTCTGTGAGTCTCTGCGTCTCTGTTTCTGCCTCTGAACCTATCTCTTGGGTTTCTGTCTCCTGCTTCTCTCTCTGGCCTCCGATTTTCTCTCTGTTGGACTCTCTGTGTTGAGATCCCTCTTTCTGGTTTTCTCTGTTTCCGAGTTCTGCTCTCTCTTTCCAATTTTCTGTCCGCTGGGGTCTCCCTCTGGATGGATCCATGCCTCCATCTGTGTCTCTATGATTTTCACCTTTAGTCTGCAGCTTTGTGGTTCATCGACGATGCCACGAATTTGTGACCTTCGAGTGTCCAGGCGCTGGGAAGGGCCCCCAGACGGACGTGAGTGCCCGGACACCTGGTTCTCCTCCTCGGGCCGCGCCCCCGCCCTCACCCCCTCGGCGTCCGTCCCAATTTCTCCTGCTATTTTTATGGCTGGGAGGGGAGGGGGGCTGGAGAGATAGGGGGAGCTATCTGGCCCAGATTCCTTGCCCTTGGCCTGGAAAGGGGGAATGCGAGGGGGACTGACAGGCTGGGGACACAGGTGGGGGACAGAGAGGAGGCCGGGGTGAGGAGACTGAAGATGGGCACTGCTGGGGGTGGGCTGTGATCCAGGGATGAAGGGATTTAAAAATTGAGAGCTGAGGAGCACACAGAGAAAAATACCAATGCAGGTGCAGAGATCCCAACATAAGACAGAGGCAATCTCAGGAAGAGGAACAGAGTCACAGAAAAAGACAGAGACCCAGGAGAGATTGAAGATGAGGCAGAGAGAGAGACGGAGCAGAGAAAGAACCAGGGAGAAAGAGGGGAATTTGGAGGCACCAAAAGATGGACAGAGAAAATCCAAGAGACGGAGACAAAGACACCTGGAGAGAGACACTAAAATAGAAAATGGTGGATACAGACAACAGCTTAGGAGATGCTGAGAAGAGACCCAGGGAAGTCCCACAGTACACTTGCACACATGTGCATGCATGTACAGATGCCCCTGTCATCACAGATGTGCAGCACGCAGAGACACACAGTGTCTCCCCAACCCCTCTCTCTCCATCAGAGGCTCACAAGACCAGTCAACCCGGAGTCCCCATCCCCGTTCCCTTTTCTGCTTTATCTCTGAGCCTCAGTTTCCTCCCCTATAAAATGGGGCTGATGATCTAGCATTGACCAACAGAACTGTCTACAGTGACGGAAGCATTCTGTACATGCACTGTCCAATAGGCAGCCACCAGCTCCATGTAGCCAGTGAGCACTTGAAACAGGGCGACTGTGGCTGAGGAATAGAAATTCCATTTCATGTCATTTGAATTGACTTATGTTTATTTTTTTTTTAATTTTTATTTTTTGAGATGGAGTCTTGCTCTGTTGCCCAAGCTGGAGTGCAGTGGCGCAGTCTCAACTCAATGCCACCTCCATTTCCTGGATTCAAGCAATTCTCCTGCCTCAGCCTCCTGAGTAGCTGGGACTACAGGCACGCGCCGCCACGCCCGGCTAATTTTTTGTTTTTTTTTAGTAGAGATGGGGTTTCACCATGTTGGCCAGGCTGGTCTCGAATTCCTGACCTCATGATCCACCCACCTCAGCCTCCCAAAGGGCTGGGATTATAGGTGTGAGCCACCGCGCCTGGCCACATTGACTTAAATTTAAACAGCCACATGTAGTTCGTGGCCACCAAGTGGGACAGCACACATCTGGACATTTCCTGGCTTGTTTTGACGTCAGGTGGGTTCAGAGTTTCGCCCAGGGTTTGACACAAGATTGGAGACAGTTTTATGATGTACAGATGGAGAGGCAGAGAGAGAGAGATCCACAGAAGTCCATGAGGCGTTTTACCAGCTTATCAGCCGAAAATAACAGAAGTCTACATAGAAGATGTGACTTCATAGAACATATATTGAACACCACTGTCTACCAGCACGTGTATGTGACTGATGACCCGCCTCATTCACTCACCTCCGCCACCAACGCCAGACTAAGTCTGATGTATCCAGTCCTCGTTGGGTACACTCATCAAGATTTTTCTGGTTTTTCGCCTGTAATCCCAGCTACCCGGAGGCTGAGGCAGAATTGCTTGAACCTGAATGGCGGAGTTGCAGTGAGCCAAGATCACGCCACTGCACTCCAGCCTGGGCGACAGAGCAAGACTTTGTCTCAGAAAAAAGAAAAAAGTTTTTTTGTTTTTGTTTTTTGTTTGCTTTTGGGGTATTTTTTTGATGGAGTCTCACTCTGTCGCCCAGGCTGGAGTGCACTGGTGCAATCTCGGCTCACTGAAACCTCCACCTCCCAGGTTCAAGCGATTCTCATGCCTCAGTTTCCCGAGGAGCTAGGACTAGAACAGGCACGTGCCACCATGTCCGGCTAATTTTTATATTTTCAGTAGAGACAGGGTTTCACCATGTTGGCCAAGCTGGTCTTGAACTCCTGACCTTAGGTGATCCACCCACCTCGGCCTCCCAAACTGCTGGGATTATAGGCATGAGCCACCATACCCAGCTGATTTTTGGGGTTTTTTGAGACAAGGTCCTGCTCTGTCACCTAGACTGGAGTATAGTGATGGGATCATAGCTCACTGCAGCCTTGAATTCTCCAGGTTCAAGTTCTCCTCCTGCCCCAGCTTCCCAAGTCGCTGGGACTACAGGCACAAGCCACAACGCCTTGCTAATTAAAAAAAAAATGTTTTTGTAGAGATGGAGTCTCACTCACTATATTGCCCAGGCTGGTCTTCAACTCCTGGTCTCACTCGATCCTCCTGCCTCAGCCTCCCAAAATGATGGGATTACAGGCATGAGCCACTGCACCTGGCCTCAAGTATTTTGTATACAGTATAGGATTGGATCCGTACAACAGCTTATGTGGTTGTTAGATATTTTTCCTGTCCCTATCTGGTTTGAATCCCAGCTCCACCATTTTTGGTTCTATGACATTTCCTGAGTTAATCTACCTCTCTGCACTTCTTGAATCCCTTGTCTGTAAAGTGGAGATAATAATTATGCACACCATGGATTGGTTTGAAGATTTAGTGAGTCAGACATTTGGGATGGTCTCTGACACATAGCAAGAGCCAAAATATTATTTTTTGTTATTGTTAAAATTATTATTATGACCAGTGAGGAAACAAGTGAATAGTGAGGAGGAGATCTTTCCTCTGCAGCACTTAGTTTTTTTGTTTTGTTTTATTTTTTTACTATTGAGACAGGGTCTCACTCTGTTGCCCAGGCTGGAGTGCAATGTGTGATCACTGCTCACTGCAGCCTTGACCTCCGGGGTTCAAGTGATTCATTGCCAGCAGTTGATCTTCTTAAAAGTAACATGCAGGCCAGGCACAGTGGCTCATGCCTGTAATCCCAGCACTTTGGGAGTTTGAGGTGGGCGGATCACCTGAGGTCGGGAGTTCAAGTTCAGCCTGACCAACATGGAGAAACCCCATCTCTACTAAAAATACAAAATTAGCTGGGCGTGGTGGTGCTCACCTGTAATCCCAGCTACTCAGGAGGCTGACGCAGGAGAATCACTTGAACCCAGGAGGCAGAGGTTGCGGTGAGCTGAGATTGCGCCACTGCACTCCAGCCTGGGCAGCAAGAGCAAAAGTCTGTCTCAAAAAAAAACAAAAAAAACCCACAAAGCAAGGAACACATGCCTCAACCGGGCACGGTGGCTCACGCCTGTCATCCCAACTCTTTGGGAGGCTGAGGCAGGTGGATCACGAGGTCAGGAGATTGAGACCATCCTGGCTAACATGGCGAAACCCCGTCTCTACTAAAAATACAAAAAATTAGCCGGGCGCGGTGGCATAAGCCTGTAGTTCCATCTACTTGGGAGGCTGAGGCAGGAGTATCGCTTGAACCTGGGAGGCAGAGGTTGCAGTGAGCGGAAATCGCACCACTGCACTCCAGTCTGGGCGACAGAGTGAGACTCCATCTCAAAAAAAAAAAAAGAACATGGATCAAGAGCTTAAGATGTGCTAAGGGTTTGGCAAGTATGATTTCATTTAGTCCTCAGGGAGGGCACATGCCCCCACTTTTCAGATGGTAAACCTGAGGCTTTGAAAAGGGGCAGGCGTGGTGAGGCCACCTAGCTGGGTAGGGGGTAGAGGCAAGATTTGAACTCTGATGTATGTAACCAGGGCCTCCGTGCTGTCTCCTTTTTAACAGCGACGTTCACTTTTGAGAATAAGAACAGCAGCCTCTGTCTGTGGATGGCTTGTGTGTCAGGCACCCGGCTGAGAGCCTTCATACACAGCATCTTATTTAGTGCGGCAGGAACCCTTTGAGTTAGGGTCAGTGGAAGACATTTAGAAGCTCAGCACATTGAAAGGGATCCTGGAAACTGCCAACACCCTCCTCTACCCAAATATATATTCAAACTAGAAACCCCGCTAACATAAATGAAAATCCAAGAATGGCCTAAATTTTCACCCTGTGATAATCCTTTTAATGGATTCTTAGAATCAAGTTATTTAACAAGCAGATATTGTCCCAGGGGTAGAGGGTGGCAGGGGAGAAGGAGAAGCTTCACTGATGTCCTGCATTCGTGCTTAAGGGACTCTGGAACTTTAGCATTGCTTCAAAATATAGATTATTTATTTCCACTTGACAGAGGAGGATGCTGAGGCTCAAAATTAGGAAAGAACTTGCCCCAAATCACACAACTGAGAAGTGGCCTAGCTCTTACTTAAATTCAGGGCTATGTAGGAACTGCAATAAAATCCCTAATAATAACCACAGGAAGAGTAATAGTATTGGGAGCATCTAACATGGTAGGCACAACTGTGTTTTATACACCAATTATTTTATTTAGGCCTGCTGGTTTCCTGTTATAACTGAGGGGTCATGTTCTCCATTCCACCTGGAGCTCAGAGAAAGCATACCATGTGGACACTGGCAGAAGCTGCCAGTGAATGAGCTGGGGTTCAGGGTGGCCCACAAGTCCTCAAATACTAACTTGTGGGAGTTGGGGGGATGGGAACTATGGGATGTTGGAAGCTCCTGCCTCCTTCACGTTCTGCCCAGATACCATTTTGTCAGCGAGGCCTCCCCACCACACACTGTTTTGTTTTGTTTTGGTTTGGTTTTTTGAGCCAGAATCTTGCTCTGTCGCCCAGGCTGGAGTGCAGTGGCACAATCTTGGCTCACTGCAACCTTGGCCTCCTGGATTCAAGCGATTCTCATGCCACAGCCTCCTGAGTAGCTGGGATTACAGGCGTGCACCACCATGTCCGCCTAATTTTTGTATTTTTAGTAGAGACAGGGTTTTGCCATGTTGCCCAGCCTGGTCCCGAACTCCTGAGCTCAAGGCAATCCGCCCACTTCAGCCTCCCAAAGTGCTGGGATTACAGGCATGAGCCACCACACCGGGCCAGGACCACCATATTTAAAATTTCAATCCCCCAACTTCTGGTGGTCCCCATCCCTGCCTCATTTTTCTCCAGAGCACCCATTACCAACCATCAAACTATATGTTTTATTTATTTACCATGTTTACATTCTGTCTCCCTCCACTAGGAAGTAAACTCCATGTGACAAAGAGGATTTTTTTTTTCATTTGTTTAATGCTGGGTCCCCACACCAAGAACGGTCCCTGGCACACAGCAGGTGTTCAATGATTATTGGTGCATGGAGAGAAAGAGATGGAGTCTCAGGATGACCTAGAGAGTAAGGCAGGGGGAAAAGATAAAAGGGCCCCTCCCCTGGGGTTTTAGGACCCTCCCAACGCCCCCTAAGCCAGTCTTCTCTGCTCCCAGGACCCCCGGAACAAGCACAAGTTCCGCCTGCATAGCTACAGCAGCCCTACCTTCTGCGACCACTGTGGCTCCCTCCTGTACGGGCTTGTGCACCAGGGCATGAAATGCTCCTGTGAGTGAACTGGGCATTGCCAGGGCCCTTCCAAAGCGCCCGGTCTGGGTTCTGGGAAATGCCCGGGATGGGGTGGGGGGTGGAGGCTTGGCTTGGGGGCGGGGCCTGAGGTGCTACCCGCAGCTTTCTCCCGCAGGCTGCGAGATGAACGTGCACCGGCGCTGTGTGCGTAGCGTGCCCTCCCTGTGCGGTGTGGACCACACCGAGCGCCGCGGGCGCCTGCAGCTGGAGATCCGAGCTCCCACTGCAGATGAGATCCACATAACGGGTGAGGTCCCGCCCCCTCGCCTTGCCCCGCCCCTTCCCCAAGTGTGAGGCGAGGCTGACCCAAGGCACTTGTGCTGGCCCAACCCCTTTAATGGTCACGCCCACACTTCCGACCCCACCCCAAAGGCCGAGCACACCCCGCCACGCCCCTTTTGGCTCAAAGCTCCGCCACCAGCCTGGCCTCTTGCAATTTTCAGCGCCTGTTAATGACTTTGACTTTCTTTGTTTTTTTTGAGGGGGGCAGAGTTTCGCTCTTGTTGCCCAAGCTGGAGCAGCGATCTCAGCTCACTGCAACCTCCGCCTCCGGGGTTCAAGCGATTCTCCTGCCTCAGCCTCCCGAGTAGCTGGGATTGCAGGCGCCCGCCACCATGCCCTGCTAAGTTTTTGTATTTTTATTAGAAACGGGGTTTCACCATGTTAGCCAGGCTGGTCTCGAACTCCTGACTTCAGGTGATCTGCTCGCCTCGGCCTCCCAAAGTGCTGGGATTACAGGCGTGAGCCACCGCGTCTGGCCAATGGCTTTCTTTCTTGTTTTTGTTTTATGTTTATTAAGATGGAATCTTGCTCTGTCGTCCAGGCTGGAGTGCAGTAGTGCAATCTTGGCTTACTGCAACCTCTGCCTCCCGGGTTCAAGGGATTCTCCTGCCTCAGCCTCCCGAGTAACTGGGATTACACGTGCCCGCCACCACATCCGGCTATTTTTGTTGTTGTTGTTGTTTTTTGAGACGGGATCTCACTCTGTTGCCCAGGCTGGAGTGCAGTAGGGCGCTCTCGGCTCACTGCAGCCTCCGCCTCTCAGATTCAAGCAATTCTCCTGCCTCAGCCTCCTGAGTAGCTGGGACTGCTGGCGTGTGTCACTGAGCCCAGCTAATTTTTGTATTTTTTAGTAGAGACGGGGTTTCACCATGCTGGCCAGGCTGGTCTCGAACTCCTGACCTGAGGTGATCTGTCTGCCTCGGCCTCCCAAAGTGCTGGGATTACAGGTGTGAGCCACCGCGCCCAGCAATGGCTTTCTGGGTATAAGCATCTTGAGAAGGGAGAGTACCTGGTTCTGAGGTAGTCTGAGGTTCAGTATTGGTGACATGGCCAGGGTCCAAACTCTGGTTCCTAATGGAGAGAAGGGCTCTGGTCTGATTTCGGGGTCACTGTTTGGGGAAAAGGCTCTATGCCCTGTCTTCTGGGTACTGGAGAGGTAAGAAGTCATGAGAAATGAGACTGAGAGCTTGGAACTCTTGATTGCTGACTGGAGGAGGGCTGGGAGCCCCTTCCTGGATCTCTAACCCATCACACTCTTCCTCACTTCCCATTTAGTTGGCGAGGCCCGTAACCTTATTCCTATGGACCCCAATGGTCTCTCTGATCCCTATGTGAAACTGAAGCTCATCCCAGACCCTCGGAACCTGACGAAACAGAAAACCCGAACGGTGAAAGCCACGCTAAATCCTGTGTGGAATGAGACCTTTGTGTTGTGAGTCTGGGGTGCAGGGAAGGCAATGACAGCTGACAGAGAATGATCTGAGGGTCCTAGTGGCCCCCAGAGAGCAGCTGATGGGAGGGGTTAGGATAGAGGGAACCCAGAAAAGGGCAGAAGAAGATGGTGGGAAAAAGGAATAGAGCGATTGAGGGAGTGGAATGGAGATACAGAAACAGAGCCAGCCAAACCACTGTATAATTAGTCTCCATTGAAGCCCCCCAACTTAAGAGTTAGACAGAGATGAGAGAGAGAAGAGAGAGTCTCAGAAGAGGCAGAAACCCAAAGACAGACACAGAGGGAGAGGGAGGGGAGAAGACGAGGGATGGCAGGGAGACAGTGGTCAGCTGACAGAAAGACAGTGACAGAGACCCAGAGAGGAGAGAAAGGTCTAGAGACTCAGAGAGAGAGATCTCGAGAGACAAGAGACAGGGATGGGAAGGGGCAGAGAATGCAGGAGGAAGGGAGAGGAAGAGCTCTCTGGGTTTACTTCAGGCCCCAAAGCCCTAGCTGGAGAGAGAGCCCCACTGGGAAGGTCAGAGGTCGAAGACAGACAAAGCAGGAGAGGAACCCCAGTTGGCTGGGTTTGCCCCCACCTCCAGCACCCAGGATGGGGAACTGAAGGGAGCCATGAGCTTGGCCCCGCACCCCATTCACCCCACCTTCCTGCAGCAACCTGAAGCCTGGGGATGTGGAGCGCCGGCTCAGCGTGGAGGTGTGGGACTGGGACCGGACCTCCCGCAACGACTTCATGGGTGCCATGTCCTTTGGTGTCTCAGAGCTGCTCAAGGCGCCAGTGGATGGCTGGTGAGGAGCAGGGCTGGGGCCTGGGGATGGAGCGCAATATTACCATCTCCATCTGTGTGTGGTCTCTCTCCTCCAGGCCACTGTCCTTCCCTCCACCTCCCAACACACACACACACACACACACACACACACACACACACGCACGCACACAACCCTCTCTCTCTCTCTGTATCTCCTCTTCTCTCCTTCTCACCTCCCTTTCTCCCTCTCCCTCTCTTTTTATCTCACTCTTTCTCTCTTCCATCTCTGTGTCCGTCTCTCTGTGTCTCTTTCCTCCCTTCCAATGTCTTTGCCTCTCCCATGGGTGCCCTGTCCCCGCTGTCCGCCTCTGGTCTCCGTCTGTATGTCAGGTACAAGTTACTGAACCAGGAGGAGGGCGAGTATTACAATGTGCCGGTGGCCGATGCTGACAACTGCAGCCTCCTCCAGAAGTTTGAGGTACCCAGACCCCGGCTTCCTCAGGGGAGCCCAGCCCATCCTCCCATAGTTCAGAGCTGGCCTTTCCTTCCACCCCTGAGTGCCTGCTGGTCCTGGGACTACAGTTCCCAGAAGACCCTAGGACTCCCTCCTCTGCTCTTCTAGGGGACTCGAGCCCCAGGGTCTGTTGGGAATTATAGTTCCTATCCATTGCCATGGCTTGAGGGTACTAGGGGCCACCAGTCCCTGCTCTAGGGCGATCCCTTGCCTCTCTTGGGACCCTGACTCTCTCTTTCTTTTCTCCCAGGCTTGTAACTACCCCCTGGAATTGTACGAGGTGAGTAGAACAACCAAGGCGTTGAATGGAGGCAGTTTCAGCCTGCGTGTCTGATTTCTTATCCCTCCTCTGACTTCTGTCTTCAATTCCACACACACGAGTTGAGCACACATTTGCGCTAGGTCTGTCTTGTGCTTGCTGAATAATCCAGGATCCAGAGGTGAATCTGACCCTCAAGCAACTCCCCAAGGTAGGGACACAGTCACAGATACTTAAAATACAGGAAGATGTGCTAAATTAGAGGTAGCCCAGGGCACTGAAGAGGCCTAGAGGAGGCATTAATGCAGCCTCAGGGAGGGTGGTCAGGGAGGACTTCCCTGAGGAGGTGACACCTGAATTGATATTCTTAAGGTGCTTTTTTTTTGTTTTTTGGAGTCAGAGTCCCGCTCTATCGCCCAGGCTGGAGTGCAATGGTGCAATCTCAGCTCACTGCAACCTCCAACTCCCAGGTTCAAGCAACTCCCTTGCCTCAGCCTCCTGAGTAGCTGGGATTACAGATGACCGCCACCACACCCGGCTAAGTTTTTTGTATTTTTAGTAGAGACGGGATTTCACCATGTTGGCCAGGCTGACCTCAAACTCCTGACCTCAGGTCATCCGCCTGCCTTGGCCTCCCAAAGTGCTGGGATTACAGGCGTGAGCCACGCCCGGCCGATTCTTGAATTTTAAAAAATCTATCAAGCATGATGACCTTAATCTCTCCATTCATTCATTCACTCATCGGATACCTTTTTTTTTTTTTTTTTTTTTTTTGAGACAGAGTCTCGCTTCATCACCCAGGCTGAAGTACAGTAGTGCAGTCTCGGCTCACTGCAACCTCCGCCTCCCAGATTCAAGTGATTCTCCTGCCTCAGCCTCCCGAGTAGCTGGGATTTCAGGAGTGCACCACCACACCTGGCTAGTTTTTGTATTTTTAGTAGAGATAGGATTTCAACAGGTTGACCAGGCTGGTCTCGAACTCCTGACCTCAAGTGATCCGCCCACCTTGGCCTCCCAAAGTGCTGAGATTAGAGGCGTGAGCAACCACGCCCAGACGAATACCCATTTTCTAGGGTGTCATAAGCCAGACCCTGTTCTGGGAATAGAATCAGGCCATTCCCTGGGGGAGCTCTTCTTCTAGTGGAGGACAAAATTACAAACCCAGACATTCACAACGAGGAGCAATGCTGCTGTAATGGAGATAGCCTCAGGCACTGGGGCGTCCCTGGCACAGCCTGAGTCAGAGAAAGCTTCCCAGAGAGGTGAGACCTGGTGGAAGGGCGGGATTTCCCAAAGGAGAGACCAGATTTTCAGGCAGAAGGAAGTAATGCTCTCTCCCTCATTTACCCTTTCAAAAAATACTTTACAGAGCGTCTCTGTGTGCAAGGCGTGGCTCTACTCACTGGGGATATAGAGAGAGCAGGGAAAGAATAAACAAAAAAAAGGTTCCTTTCCTCATGGGATTTACACCGGGAGGAAGACATCAAACAAAATATATAAGCATATGATAGGCCAGGCGCCGTGGCTCATGTCTGTGATCCCAGCACTTTGGGAGGCCAAGGCAGGCAGATCACCTGAGGTCAGGAGTTTGAGACCAGCCTGGCCAACATGGCAAAACCCCATCTCTACCAAAAATACAAAAATTAGCCGGGTGTGGTGGTAGGTGCCTGTAATTCCAGCTACTCGGCAGGCTGAGGCAGGAGAATTGCTGGATTCCAGGAAGCGGATGTTGCAGTGAGCCAAGATTGTTCCACTGCAGTCCAGCCTGGGTGATGGAGACACTGTCCCCAAAAAAAAAAAAAAAAAAGACAAGAATCTTCAAGATTCAACAACAGCAACTACATGCTATAGTCTTCCCTGGACTCTTACAGAAACTTTCCCCAGAGTTTTAAATGTTCTGTGTAGGGGTTCATCTGCATCAGAATTCCTAGAGTGCTTGCTTTTAAAAGCATATTCCCTGGCCTTTCTGCAGACCTACTGAGTGAGGGTCTCTCTGATGCCTCAAATGTCTGCATACTAAATTAATTCCTCAGGTGATCCTTCTGCAAAGTTAAGTTTGAGAACAGGCTCTGCAGGAGACAAGGGTACCAGCGGGAGGAAATTCTGAGCCAAAGAGGTAGAGTCTTTTGAGATCAGCGGGGATGATCCTCCCGTGCAAACCCAAGAAACCCAGCAGGGCAGACGGTGGGCAAAGGCCTAGAGGCAGGGAGTGTGTGCCTGTTGTGGTTCACAGTGCTCTCCCACTTAATATTATTAATATATTAAGCATGCACCACTTAATATTACCAGTGAACACCAACTTAGTGCCAAACCTTGAGCTAGGTACGGGGCTAACAACACAGCAAACAGAAACAGCCATTATTATTATTATTATTATTATTATTATTCTGTATTTATTTATTTGAGACAGAGTCTCGCTGTGTTGCCCAGTCTGGAATGCAGTAGCGCGATCTCGGCTCACTGCAACCTCCGCCTCCTGGGTTCAAGCGATTCTCCTGCCTCGGCCTCCCAAGTAGCTGGGACTACAGGCGTGTGTCACCATGTCCTACTAATTTTTATATTTCTAGTAGAGATGGGGCTTCGCCATGATGGCCAGGCTGGTCTTGAACTCCTGATCTCAGGTGATCTGCCCACCTCAGCCTTCCAAAGTGCTGGGATTACAGGCGTGAGCCACCGCACCTGGCCCTCAACAAATATTTATGTAGCCTCAGTGATGTAGGCAGAGTTACTGTGTCTTAGCGAACAAAGCAGAACCCTGACTTAGGGAGCTCACAGGCAGAAAGCAGATAATCACACAGATAGATGTAAATTACTAAGAATAAAAGTGCCAGGAAGGTGCTGTCCATGGTGACCAAGGGGTGGTAAGAGAGGCATCTGACCCAGTTTAAAAAGTCAGGCGTGGCCTCTATGAAGTGATGCTTGAGTCAAGGTCTAAAGGGTGTTTGGGAGGCAACTAGGAGGAAAGGGGAGGGGAAAGCTTTACAGGAAGACCTGACAGCATATCCAGAGGCCCCGAGGAGGGAGGGAGGACAGTGTGTGTCAGGCCAGGGTGGGTAGATCATGGAGCCCCCAGGAGAGAGAAGAACAACCTGCAGGGTCAGTCACAGCCTGGCTCTGCAAGTCACATGGAACAAAATCTTAACACAGACAGAACAGTTAAAGGGTTTACAAGCATAGGGGAGACATGACCTGGTTTATTTATTTTTAAATTGGCTCCTGTGCCTGCTGAGTAGAGAATGCATTCGAAAGGGCAGCCGTCCATGTGGAGGGACAAGTGTGGAAGCTGTTACAGCAGCTTAGTCGTGGGCCCCCTCCCTGGGGGGCCAAGGCAGCAAAAGGTAGAGAAAGGACCTTAGCTGAAAGCCAGGAGTGCTCCCTGGACTGGCAGCACCCATGTCACCCAGAAGCTTTTTACGCATACCAATTCTCAGGTCCCACCCCAGATTTATAGAGTTAGAAAATCTGGCATTGGGACCGAGCAATCTGTTTTACCAAACCCTCTAGGCGATTCCGGCTTAGAGGCTAAGAGCAACCAGACTCTAGAGCTGAACTGCTTGGGTTTCGTTTCTAGCTCTGCTCTTTACCTGCTGTGTGACTTGGGGCAAGTTACTTAACGTCTCTGTGCTAATTTCCTCTTCTGTAAAAACAGGGTTTTCTGGAGATAGCATATAAGCCATCTACTACAAAAAAAAAAAAAAAAAAAAAAAAAAAGAGAGAGAGAGAGATCTAAGTGTTTGTTAAATAATAAATAAACCCTCCAGGCTATGGGAGTCAGAGAAAATTAAGCCAAGGATGGAGTAGGAGGGTGGCCATTTTCCTCTCTCTAGCTAGTCTCATCCTTTTCTTTCTTGGGTGCTGTCTCTCTTGTGGGCATCTCCTTATCGCTGTATAAGGTCTAACTGCCTCTGGCACTTTCTTTCTCCTTTCCACAGCGGGTGCGGATGGGCCCCTCTTCCTCTCCTATCCCCTCCCCTTCCCCTAGTCCCACCGATCCCAAGCGCTGCTTCTTCGGGGCAAGCCCAGGACGTCTGCACATCTCCGACTTCAGCTTCCTCATGGTTCTAGGAAAAGGCAGTTTTGGGAAGGTTGGATTCCTGGGGTTCCGGGGGAAAGGGAGGATGTCTGTGGGGAGGTCAGATTTCTGGTTCTTAGGGAGGAAGTAGGGGTGGGAAGACACTGGGCTCCTGCATCTTCAAATATGGTTAGGCTGGGCCGTTCAGGTTCCTGGAGAGGAGAGATTTAGAAATTCGGACACTCTCCCTGAGGGGGCGGGCGGCAAGTCAGGGCTGTCAGTCCCTTAACAGATGGAGGGAGGACCTGGGATCCCGTTTCCCTGCGTCCCTGAAAGGAAGGGGGCAGGAACTGTACCACTGGGTTCCCAACATGGACTGGCCCTTTTGGAACTGTGTGCATAGGTGATGCTGGCCGAGCGCAGGGGCTCTGATGAGCTCTACGCCATCAAAATCCTGAAAAAGGACGTGATCGTCCAGGACGACGACGTGGACTGCACGCTGGTGGAGAAACGCGTGCTGGCGCTGGGGGGCCGGGGTCCTGGCGGCCGGCCCCACTTCCTCACCCAACTCCACTCCACCTTCCAGACCCCGGTAAGGATGGAGGGGGCGGAGGCTGGCCTCGGGGCCCTGCCTCATCCAGTTCTGGACAGATCCGGCATCTGCGTTGGGATTCTGAGTTTAGGGCGAGGCAACAGAACCTTGTACTCTCTGAGTGGGCGAGGCCAGGAGGATGGGCTCCTCTGGGGGCGTGGCCAGGGAGAGGGGCTCCTCGGGCCGTGGCCAGGCGGAAGGGCCCCTCGAGGGGCGTGGCCAGGTGGAGGGGTCCTAGGTGGGCGTGGCCAGGCGGAGGGACTCCTCGGAGGGCGTGGCCAGGCAGAGGTGCTCCTCGCGGGGCGTGGTCAGGCGGATGAAATCTTTCTGGGGTTTGGAGGTGCGGGCTTTGTCAGGCGATGGATCATTAATAGGCGTGGCCAGGCAGATTGGCTCCTTGAGGGCGTGGCCAGGCGGATGGGATCCTTGTGCAGCGTGGCCAGGCAGATGACATTATGAATGAGCGTATCCAGGCAGGCAGATTCTTCGGAGGGCGTGGCCGGGCGGATGAGCTTCTAGGGGGCGTGGCCAGGTGGTGAGCTCCTCGGGGGCGTGGCCAGGTGGATGGATCCTGCGAAGGTGAAGCGGCTGAGCTCCTTGGGGGCGTGGCCAGCTGGATGGACTCCTTGGGGGAGTGGCCAGATGCCTGTTTCCCTGGGGAGGTTGGTCTTAATTGGGTGTAGCCAGTGCTCTGGAATTTTGAGCAAAGGAGTACAGTGGAGGAAAGTGCGTTCCTAGTGGGCCTGCCCAGAATTGGGCTCCGAGTGACGGGGTCATCACTTTCGGATTCTGACTGAAGGACACATGAGAAACATGGCATTTCCCTAGGATTGCGACGTAAGGGCAGAGAGTCAGAATCTGCAGGATTTTGAGAGGGCGTGACTTTACTTCCAGGGACTCTGAGTGAATGTGGCTAGCTGCCTGAATTAAAATTTATATATGAGCAACTTTGATTCCTTTTTTTTTTTTTTTTTTTGAGACGTATTTTCGCTCTTGTCCCCCAGGCTGGAGTGCAATGGCACGATCTTGGCTCACTGCAACCTCCGCCTCCCAGGTTTAAGCAATTCTGTCGATTACAGGCATCCGCCGCTGCGCCCGGCTAATTTTTGGTATTTTTAGTAGAGACGGGGTTTCACCATGTTGGTCAAGCTGGTCTCGAACTCCTGACCTCAGGTGATCCCGCTCCGGCCTCCCAAAGTGCTAGGATTACAGGTGTGAACCCCCACACCCGGCCGCAACTCTGAGTCTTGGTATGAAGCCAGAATTGCATATGTGTGTGTGAGTGGCTGTGGAAAGAGATTTTGGTGTCCCCGGATTTCGAGCGAAAGGTGGGCTTCAGTCTTCAATTCTGAGAAGGCGGGGCCAGAACAGGTGGTTTGATAGTTGGGGGTGGTCTGGCGGCTGGAGATTCTGAGGTAGCAGGGTTAGCACCTTAGGGCCCTTCCAGGGATGTGGCTAGGTGCTCTGATTTCTGGTTGGGTGCAGCCGGAACCTTCCATGTCTGTCCTGAGTGATCAGGAAAGAACTTCTCCTACCCCGGATAGATGAGTCCCGCCTCTAAGCCCATGCACTCCTCCGCAGGACCGCCTGTATTTCGTGATGGAGTACGTCACGGGGGGAGACTTGATGTACCACATTCAACAGCTGGGCAAGTTTAAGGAGCCCCATGCAGCGTGAGTCTCGGCCAACAGAGAAGGGACGGGGTGGCGGAAGGGGGCAGGGTCCAGCCACTGACCCTCTGACGTCCTCACCCACTCCGTCCTCCAGGTTCTACGCAGCAGAAATCGCCATCGGCCTCTTCTTCCTTCACAATCAGGGCATCATCTACAGGTGAGCAGCCTCAGGACTTTCCACGGAGGAAATCACGCCCCTGGAAGGGAAGGGATTTGAATATGCGGCTCCAGACTGCTGAACTCAACCCTTCTTGCAATTCCTACCCTACCCGCCCCGCTTCGTCCAGGGACCTGAAGCTGGACAATGTGATGCTGGATGCTGAGGGACACATCAAGATCACTGACTTCGGCATGTGTAAGGAGAACGTCTTCCCCGGGACGACAACCCGCACCTTCTGCGGGACCCCGGACTACATAGCCCCGGAGGTAACCCCAACCCTGCTGGTCTGGCCACGCTTTGAGATCCCTTAGAGGGTGTGGCTGATGGTCTAGTATTCATCGCGGGGGGAGGCCTGACCCTCGGGCCTTGTCGTGCGTTGTGGTCTTCTTACCCAGCCAGGCCTTCCTCCAGCCTCCAGCACAGGTGAGCTTGTGCACTGAGCCTGCCAGGTGGGCCCAGGCTGGGTCTCTAAATAGGTAAGGTGGGCGGCACCTGTGGGTGAACGTTCCAGGAGGGTGGGACCAGCTTGTAGGAATTCCGAGTAGGGCCTGATCCTGGACCCTTCTGACAAGGTGCAAACGATTTCTGGTGTACTCTAAGTGGGTGGGGCCTGTCCCCTGCCAACACTGAACATGTCTGAACTGTGGCCTGAATACCCTTAACTGGGCAGGGCTCTCCCTGGAGTATTCATTGGATGGAAGCTTATTTCCTAAGTGTTGTACGTGGTTCTCTGATCTAAGTGGGTTGGACTTCTGTGCTGCATTTTTTAAGAGGGCAGGATCAGTCAGGCGCGGTGGCTCACACCTGTAATCCCAGCACTTTGGGAGGCTGAGGCGGGTGGATCACTTGAGGTCAGGAGTTTGAGAACAGCCTAACATGGTGAAACCCTGTCTCTACTAAAAATACAAAAATTAGCCAGGCGTGGTGGTGAGTGCCTGTAATCTCAGCTACTTGGGAGGCTGAGGCAGGAGAATTGCTTGAACTCAGGAGGTGGAGGTTGCAGTGAGCTGAGATCACACCACTGCATTCCCGTCTGGGCAACAGAGTGAGACCCTGTCTCAAAAAAAAAAAAAAAAAAAAAAAAAAAAGAGAGAGAAAACAAAAGAAAAAGGGCAGGGTGAGATTGATTCCTAAGGTTCTGGGACAGTAGATGCTGTCCTGTAAGTATTTTAATTTTAAGTGGGTGGGGTATTACCTGTCTTTGTTAAAGGGGAGGGGCTGATGTTCTGAATATACATATAGATGGATAAAGCACATGCCTATAGTCCCAGCTACTTGGGAGGACGTGCCTGACTTGTGCCCAAATAATCAATGTCAGTGATCACAAAACCTGGCTGGCAATCAGAATCATCTGTAGAAAATTTGAAAACTGAGGCCAGGCATGGTGGCTCATGCCTGTAATCCCAGCACTTTGGGAAGCTGAGGTAGGCGGATCAGTTGAGGTCAGGAGTTCAAGACCAGCCTAGCCAACATAGTGAAACTCGGTCTCTACTAAAAATACAAAAATTAGCTGGAAGTGGTGATGTGTGCCTGTCATCCCAGCTACTCAGGAGGCTGAGGCAGGAGAATCACTTGAACCCAGGTGGTGGAGGTTGCAGTGAGCCAAGATTCCACCACTGCACTGCAGCCTGGGCTATAGAGTGAGACTCCATCTCAAAAAGGAACAAAGAAAAGAAAATTTGAAAACTACACACATAGCCGGGCGTGATGGCTAACGCCTGTAATCCCAGCACTTCGGGAGGCTGAGGCAGGTGGATCATGAGGTCAGGAGTTCAAGACCAGACTGGCCAACATGATGAAACCCTGTCTCTACTAAATACAAAAATTAGCGGGGCGTGGTGGCAGGTGCCTGTAATTTCAGCTATTCAGGAGGCTGAGGCAGGAGAATTCCTTGAAACCAGGAGGCGGAGGTTGCAGTGAGCTGAGATCCTGCCACTGCACTCCAGCCTGGGTGACAGAGCAAGACTCTGTCTCAAAGAAAATAAGAAAAAGAAAAAAAAACAACACCAAAAACTACACACATATTCCTGACTCTGACACAAATATTCTAGGTGGTTGCCACTAGTGACTTGGCCCTTAGGTAGTGTTTCTATTTGAGGCCAAATGAATGTTTGAAGTAGGTATGCTTCGTTTCCAGAATATTCCAAAAGGTAGATCCCTGGCCAGAATATTCAGAGTGGAGGCTGGGCATGATGGCTCACTCCTATAATCTCAGCACTTTGGGAGGCTGAGGCAGACAGATTGCTTGAGTCCGGGAGTCGAGACCACCTGGGTAATATAGTGAGGTCCTCTCTCCACTAAAAGTGCAAAAATTAGCCAGGTGTGGTGGTGCACACCTGTAGCCCACCTACTTGGGAGGCTGAGGTAGAAGAATTACCTGAGTCTGGGAAGTTGAGACTGCAGTGAGCTGTGATCACACCACTGCACTCTAGCCTGGGCAACAGAGTGAGATCCTGTCAAAAAAACAAAATGAAACAAAAAGTCACCTGACAAGCTGGGCACGGTGGCTCACACCTGTAATCCCAGCACGTTGGGAGGCTGAGGCGGGTGGATCACGACGTCAGGAGATGGAGACCATCCTGGCTAACACGGTGAAACCCCGTCTCTACTAAAAGTACAAAAAAATTAGTGGTGGCGGGCGCCTGTAGTCCCAGCTACTGGGGAGGCTGAGGTAAGAGAATCGCTTGAACCTGGGAGGCAGAGTTTGCAGTGAGCTGAGATCGCGCCACTGCACTCCAACCTGGGCGACAGAGCGAGACTTCATATCAGAAAACAAAAAAAAAAAAAAAAAATCACCCGACGAAATAAATATTCAGAGTGGGAAGAGCTTGTGCTGAAAGCACTTAAAGTGGGTAGCGCTCCCAGGGTTTGAGGCCAGAGGGGTCCTAGGCTTCTTAAAGAATGCATCGTGATTACCTGCCTTCCACCTCCCCCAGATCATTGCCTACCAGCCCTATGGGAAGTCTGTCGATTGGTGGTCCTTTGGAGTTCTGCTGTATGAGATGTTGGCAGGACAGGTAAGGGAAGGTGGGGAGAAGCTGGCTTGGCTAAAAGAGGCAGAGTGAGGCACCTGGATCTCAGGAGAAGCGGGTTAGAAAGGAGCCTGAAAGGTTGTGCCCGAATAGCGCTGTCCATGGTTCTGACGTGTTGTCTTAACTGTAGACCAGGTTTTTTGTTTTGTTTTGTTTGTACCATGGATTCTTTCTCCCTAGATGCTAAAGTAGCAGTCTAGTTAAGCCTATGGATCCCTTCTCAGAAGAATGTTTTTCAGTGCACAAAATAGAATAATACATACACAGAAAACCAACGTTCAAATCCTCACTTTGCCACTTACTGGCTGTGTGAGCTTAGATAATTACATACATTCTAAATCAGCTTGATTGGATTCCTGGACTGCTGAGTGTACTAGAGCTAAAAAAGACTGGGTGCCACCCTCTTGATCATCTTCTTAGCTGGCTATGGTAGTGGGCACCTATAGTCCCAGTTACTGCGGAGGCTGAGGCAGGAGGGTCACTTGACCCCAAGAATTCGAGGTTACATTAAACTATGAGTATGCCACTATGTTCCAGCCCAGGTGACAGAGCAAGACCCCATCTCAACAAACAAAAAAACAAAAGAAATCAATTATTTTGAAAGATAGTCACCAAAACTTTTAAAATTTAATTGAATCTAACAACCAACTAAATTAAATGTATACAGTTGTCTAAATATTTTACATTGGAATATGGACATAGGTGCAATTTCTTATGAATTCATTAAGTAGTAGGTTCTAATGGTAATAAAGTGGCAAGGAGCTCTCACAGTAATTTTGAAGTAGCAATGGCTAATAATTTGAAATATCTGCAACTCTCATGTGATGAGAAAATACCTGTGATTTCTATTGATAATGAAGCCACAAGCACTGCTACTGCCTGCATTCATAACTGAAGGGAATGCTAAATTTTAGTTGGAAGATAAAAAAAATTTGACCGGGCATGGTGGCTCACACCTGTAATCCCAGCTCTTTGGGAGGCCGAAGTGGGCAGATCACTTGAGGTCAGGAGTTTGAGACCAGCCTGGCCAATATGGTGAAACCTAGTCTCTACTTAAAAAAACAAAAAAACAAAAAAAAAGGAAAAGAAAAGGAAAGAAAAAAAGTAATGCCTGGTATCATTTTTTTGTAACCTCAGAAGACTGTGAACCACTCCTCCAACCAGGAGAATGCTTTTAGAGTGTTTCCTGCAGTTTTTCCTCTCTTCTATTTAACGGACATGCTGTGTAATTAACACCCTGCCAATTTACATAGCAGATAAAAGAGGCAGAATAGTACAGAGACGCACAGAGCTGAGGCATCTGAGATAGGAAATGAGAGAACCCGAGAAGGAGAGAGATGAAGCTTTGGTGGTTTGGTTCGATCTTTCCTGAGGGTGTGGTCGGGTGTGTGTGTGGGGGGGTGTGATGGGTCAGGTCTGTTCACGGTGGGGTGAGGAGGGTGTGGAAGGTTTGGGGAAAGGCAGTTGGGCAAGTCTCTGACTCTCTATCCCCTCCACTTTCATAGCCTCCCTTCGATGGGGAGGACGAAGAGGAGCTGTTTCAGGCCATCATGGAACAAACTGTCACCTACCCCAAGTCGCTTTCCCGGGAAGCCGTGGCCATCTGCAAGGGGGTGAGAGCCCCCTGACTCCCAGCTTCTCCAGGCTCACCATCCACACACCCCATTGCTGTCTCTGTGCCTATTAGAAAAAGGCTCTCATTCCTGAAGTCACTTTATTTCCATCTGTTGGAAAAGTTGATATAATACACAGGTTTTTGTTAGAACAATGGTTTCTGGCCCTCTTGCCACCAGGCCTGGAGATGGCCTCTGTCCCATCCTTGTCTGTGACACCCACTCCCCAGCTCCCTGCTTGCAGGAAGTGCTGAAAGTCCAGGGTCTGTCTTTCCGGAACTGGGTGGGTCAGGTAAACCCAACTTCTGCAGCCTTTCTTCCTGTGGGATCTTGGGTGACTCACCAAAACTTTGTGAGCTTAACTCTCTTCAGGGGTTATGGAGTTGACACAGAAGAAAGCATCTGGCCCATAGCAGATTTTCAGCCCATGTCAGCACCTTCTGTGTCTAGCTGCTCTCTCTGCATCTCCCTGACGGTCTCTCTGGTTTCTGCCTCATACCTCCCCTCCATCTGCGTACGATGAGGCTCTCTGTGTTTCTTCCTTTTCTCTTTGTCTCCTTCTGTATCTCCATCTACACTTTTGGGCCTTTGTCCAACCCCCCCACCCCCCCTCCCATCTCTGTTCCCTCCTGTGTCTGCTCTCATACACACACTGCATCTCACTGTCCTCTCCTGCTGGCTTTCTGTCCTCCCCTTTCTCTGGGTCTCTGTCCCCATATTTGGTCTTTATTCCTCCCTCTGGGTTTGTGTTTCCTGGGTCTCTATCCTTCTCTCTTTCTGAATGTCTGTCCCCTGAGTCTCCTCTGTCTCCTCCCTTCTCTGGGTTTCTGCCTTCTCACCTGGGGTCTCTGTACTACCCTCTGAATTTCCATTTCCCCCTTTCTCTGAGTCTGCAACCTCTTTTCCCCATTCCTTTCCTCTTCCCCTTGTCTCCTCTCCCCTTCCCTCCCTCCCCCTACCCACTTCCCTCTCTCCTTCACTCTTCCCCTTCCCTCCCTCCCCCTACCCCTCTCTCTCCTCTTCCCTCTCTCCGCCTACCCCCTTTCCCTCTCCCCTTTGCCATCTCTTTCATTCTCTTCCTTTCCCTCTCCCTCTGGGATCCTTCCCATATCTTTCCTCTTTCTTGGGTTCTCTGCCCCTCACAACCTCACACCCTGATTTGTTCTGTTTCTGTGTCCCTGGGTCTCTGGGTATGAATTTCGTCTACTCCTATTGTCATGTATCCTCCCTCTTCCTCTTTCTCTCTCTCTCTCTCTCTGTCTCGCTCTCTCTCGCTCTCGCCTTCTCTGTCTCTCTTTCTCTCTCTGTCCCTCTTCCTCTCTTCTCTCTGTCTCTCTCTGCGTCTATCTCTGTCTCTCTTTGTCTTGTTCGTCGTCGTCTTCTCTCTCTCTGCCTCTCTCTCTTTCTCTCCCCTTTCTTTTCCCTTCTTCCCTCCCTCTGCCTGTTTCCCCTGGCCGTTCTCTCTCTGGGTCTCATGCCTGTGTCTCTTGGTTCCTCCATCCGCTTGTCTCTGTCTATTTCTTCCTCGTTCTCTGGGTCTCCCTGTCCGGGACTCTGTCTGTCTGTCTGTCTATCTGTCTCTGTGTTTCCCACAGTTCCTGACCAAGCACCCAGGGAAGCGCCTGGGCTCAGGGCCTGATGGGGAACCTACCATCCGTGCACATGGCTTTTTCCGCTGGATTGACTGGGAACGGCTGGAACGATTGGAGATCCCGCCTCCTTTCAGACCCCGCCCGGTCAGTCACCCTCCAGGCAACAAAAACTTGTTTGCCTGCCTAATGGGGTGGGGTTCCCGTGGGTCTCAATATACCTGTATGTGGGGGTGGGGCTCCCTCTGCAGAGCCCTCCCGCCCCCCACAAAGGGAGGTGCAGAGACCGTGAAGCATGCATAGAGATTCTGCACGAGACAGGAGATGAGACCGGGGTACACAGAGGGGCACCCGAGGAACCCTCGGAGCTGCTTAACTTTCCCTCCCCCACGTCTCCCACAGTGTGGCCGCAGCGGCGAAAACTTTGACAAGTTCTTCACGCGGGCGGCGCCAGCGCTGACCCCTCCAGACCGCCTAGTCCTGGCCAGCATCGACCAGGCCGATTTCCAGGGCTTTACCTACGTGAACCCCGACTTCGTGCATCCGGATGCCCGCAGCCCCACCAGCCCAGTGCCTGTGCCCGTCATGTAATTTCACCCGCCGCCACTAGGTGTCTCCAACGCCCCCTCCGCCGTGCCGGTGGCAGCCCCCACTTCACCCCCACTTCAACACCTCCTGCCCCATTCTAGATCCTGCACCCCAGCATTCCGGCTCTGCCCCCGCGGGTTCTAGACGCCCCTCCCGAGCGTTCCTGGCCGCCTAAACTCCATACAGCCTCTACAGCCGTCCCGCGTTCAAGACTTGAGTGGAGCCCGATATTCTCCCCGACCTTAGCATTCTGGACTCTGCCCCAATCGGGTCCAGAGACGCCACCACACCACTAACCATCCCCAACTCCATGGGGTTCGAGACTCCATCTTGGTAGTTCTATGCGTCCCCCCAGACCCCGCCCCTGGGGAAATAGCCTCACGGGGTTGGCTGTTCCAGACTCAGGTTCCAGAACAACCCTCAGCCTCCGAGGCCCGCCCCCCCCCCACTCCAGTTCTAGGTGAGTGGGAGGCATGCCCCCCTCCTCCAGTACGTCCCGCTGCTGTGCTCTAGGGATTTCTGGGATATATGGAGGATTCTTCCCCCAGCGGCTCCCAATCAGCTTTTGTTCTAGACTTCCCCATCCTGAAGCCATCACTGCTCCCCGCAGCCTGCCTGCCGTGCATGGCTCCTGTCTGGCTCAGACCCACCCCAACCCTCCCCAATGCCTGCCACTCTGTGGGACTCTCCTCCTTCCCTCCTCTTCCCTTAGCCTCTCCCACCCCGCCACAGCTGCTGGAGAATAAATTTGGGATGCTGATGCTGAAGTGTTTGGATATTTTCTTGTAAGCTTGGAGAATGAAGGGGGTGTGGAGGCGGGACAGTGACTGTCCATAGAAACAAACAGAGAAGGAAAGCATGGAGACCTACAAAGTGAGAGGGGAGACACCCACAGCAAGGGAGCAAGCAGAGAAAAGCGCACACACACAGTCAGGAGACCCGGACAGACAGGAAGAGAAAATATCACAGAGGGCACCAACGTGGACAGTGCACAGTGAGAGAGGGGCACGGAGATCACTGGGAGTGCCAGGTGGCGACCCCGGCGCGGAGACCTAGCGCATCCGTGTTCACCACAGCAGCCACGCAAGCTCACACGCACACCCAGGCTCAGACACTGGGGAGAAGTCCTTCCCAAGAGGGGAGATCACAGTCTCGCCTCCTGAGAGACCTAGAGACCCGATCAGAGGAAGAGACCCCCCTCGTCAGAGCAACCAAAACCGGCCAGAACCCGTGAGCCTAGGGATCGGTGACGGAGGCACACGGCAGGCAGACGCGCCTTCTGGGCCTCTTTCCCTTGACCCACTTGCGAGGGGAGTGCCGGGGACGGTGCAGATGCACTACATTTCCCAGCAGGCCCCGCGGCAGACCCTTCCCCCAAGTGTGGCTCCTCGCCGCCAGGGCTGATGGGAAATGTAGTCTCCGGACAGGGCCAGACTAGCGGAGCGGAGTGCCTTGTCTGTGTGTTTGGAGGGGACTGAGCCCTAAAGCTTCGCAGGCTTCCTTGCGGACCCGGGCACTTCTTCTTCCCTGCAGGCTCCTGGGTTTCTATGCCCCGGTCCAGCTGGTTGCTGGGGCTTCCCCTCTGTCCCCCATCACCGCCGCGACAGCCCCATCCCGTGCCCGCAGGCCCCAGCCCCCGCTCCGACCCTCGGCGGGCGGCCTGCCCCTTTAAGAGTGGCCCCGCTGACATCACGGCGGGGGGGGTGGTGGGCTGGCCCGGCTCCCGGCTCCGCGGCGGCTGCAGGACCCGACTCCGCTCTGCGCCCGCCCGCTGCTGTAGGGACCCCGGCCCGGGACGCCCCCTCCCGCTTCCTGCAGTCGTCCAGACCCCAGGCTCCGCCCCAGGCCTGGCTAGAGCCCCAGTCCTCGTCAGGGGACCCCCAGGATTGTCCCTGCTGTCTCTCCTTCTCAGAGTCTCTCTCTCTCTCTCTGTCTCTCTCTCTCTGCCTCTGTCTCTTCTCCAAGCTCAAGGTCTCTGGGTCTCAGCATCTCTCAGCCCCAGGCCTCTGGGCGTCCCCCTGTCTCTTTCTGTCTCTTTCTGGTCTCTGACCTCTCCACTTCCCGGGCCTCAGAATCTCTGCGCCTAGGTGGTGAGGGGTGGTCCTAAACTCTGTCTCTCTCCCTCCTTGTCTCTCTCTGTCTCTGTATCTCCTTCAGTCTCCAGACCTGAGTCCCTGGACTTCTCGGCCTCAAGGTCTCGGCGTGACTTTCTCTCTCTGCCCTGTCTCTCTTTGTGCCTCTGCCCCTCTCGGGCTCTCTGCCTCTGTTTCTATTCTCTCTCCCTCTCTGCCTCCCCCATCCTCAAGGCCCATCTCCCTCCCTCGCTGCATCCTTCCCCCCTTCCCTCCCCGCCCCTCCCCTCCTTCTCAGTAGCCAATGAGCGGCCGCCGGTTCCTGCTCCCGGCTCCGTCCGCCGAGTGAGGCCGCGGGCGCGGGGGGTGGGGGGTGGGAGGCCGGGAGGGGGCCGGGACGCCGGGCTTCGGGGCGGGGGCGGGGGGCGCGGGCACCGGCGACCCCGGTGGCGGCGGCGGCGGCCGGGGGAAGCCGCGGGGCCGGTCATGCGGCTGCGGGGCCCGCGGCCCGGAGCGTCCGCCCAGCCCTGAGCGAGGTGAGCGCTAGAGGAGGGTCCTGGGAGGAAGAAGGGGCGCCCCTCGAGGTGTCTGCGAGCCGGGTTTGGGGCGACAAGGGACCCGAGGGGCTCCAGGGGTGGTGGGATCCTGGCAGTGGGGACGCCCGAATTCGGGCGGCTATGGGGGATGCAGGGACACCTGGGCCTGGCGATCCCGGAGGACGGGGTCCGAGGGTCCCGGAGTGGGAAACTGCACGCTTCATGTCCGAGTCGCAGGGACCGTGGGCTGGGGAGGGCAGAGACCGGGTCCTTGAGGAAGGCGGTACGGGGCGAGGGCGGAGGACCCAGGCCCGGCCAGAGCAGGGTGTGGGTCTGGGCAGGGGTCCCCAGAAAGGCGGAGTTTCGGTCTCCCGAGAGATGGAAGGGAGATGGAGTTTGGGCTTAGGACTTGCAGAATGGGACCCCAGAGATTCAAATGCCTGAATCCGGGAAAGGGTGGGAGAAAGAGGGAGAAGAGGAGGCTCCAGGCCTGGGGGGAGGGTCCCAAAGGAGGAAAGGCTGGAGGAATAAGGAGATCTGGGCGGGCCACTGAGAGTGAGGAGGAATTGGAGCAAGATTGGGTTTTAAAACGGGGTGCAAGAACGTGGAGGAGGGACGAGGTCCCAGTTGGGAGTCAGAGGGGCGAAAGGGGGAAGCTGAGATCGGCTACCTGGGACGGAGGCAACCTGGGTGGCCGGGGTAATGGTGCCCGTTTCCGAGCCCACAGGGCTGCGAGAGGACCAGGCAGCTCGCGGTCAAGCCCCTGAGCCGCGGGGCGGGGGATGGGAGGAAAAGCTGGCCAGAGCCTTCCCAGACTCTGGATCTCGGAGGCCTCCAACAGGCTGGGGGGAAGGAGGGGGGATCTGGAGGCTGGGAGTGCGGGGTGGAGCGGGGAGGAGAGAGGGTTGTCTCAGACTCCAGAGTCTTTATTCAGGTGGAGCAGAATTGCAAGGCTAGAAGAATTCTGGTTAGGGAAAGTGGAGTTTTGTGTCTTGGTTACTTTGTTGGGGAGAGTGTTTAGAGGACTCAACCTTCAGAGTTAAAAATATCCCGGGTATTCAGGCATGTAGCCATCTCTGGTTGATACAGGCTGAGGGTCCCAAGTAGAGACCCCCAAATCATGGGATTGTGTGGCTTGGGGAAAACTCTTGCAGGGGTCGGGGAGAATGGTGGGTAAGGAATTGAGCTCTGGGTTGAGGAGCTCCCTCGTTGGAATCTCTAGGTTCCTAAGTGGAATTGGGGAGGCCACGGATATGAACTGGGGATCTCCTGTTTGGAGTCTAGTGTTATGAAATCGGGGCTCCATGCTGGATGTTGGAGAGGATCTGTGATTGGAAGTCCTAGCATGGGAAACCGAGGTCCAGAACCTCTGGTGGGAAGTGTTAGGGGAGGCGGTTTTGGGACTCCTGCTTGGGATTTTAGAGTTCAGGGCACTGAATCCTAGTTGGAAGGATGAGAGTCCGATGTTTGACTGGGGTGCTCTGATTAGGATGCTGGATTGGTGGTGGTGGTGGTGGTGGTGGGTTCCCAGCTCAGTCATGATTTTTTTTTCTTTCTTTTGAGATGGACTTTCACTCTGTCACCCAGGCTGAAGTGCAGTGGCGCGATCTCGGCTCACTGCAACCTCGCCTCCTGGGTTTAAGCTATTCTCCTGCCTCAGCCTCCCAAGTAGCTGGAATTATAGATGTGAGCCACCGTGCCCAGCTAATTTTTGCATTTTTAGTAGAGATAAGGTTTCACCATGTTGGCCAGGCTGGTCTCGAACTCCTGACCTCAAGTGATCCACCCACCTCAGCCTCCCAAAGTGCTGGAATTACAGGTGTGAGCCACCTCACCCAGCCCCATCTCCTGATTTTGACATTCTGGAATCTCTAATCGAGATTCTGGTTCTATGTCTCTGGGTTCCACTGTTCTAGGACTCAGCAGCCTGTGAAGATGTTCCAGCATTCCAGGTCCAGGGGCCTGCCTAGATATGGGAGGTTGGAATTACCGTTCTGGCACTAGGATCTGGGTTGTGAGATGTCATCTCAGATTGGGGTATCAAATGAGGTCAAGGCACAGGATCAGAGTTAGAAGGTCATGAGTCAAGTTCTTGGTGTTAGAATTGGGTGTTAGGCTCAAGATACAAATCCAAGAGGCTAAACTTAAGTGGAGGCCTCTGCTCAAAGTCTTACATAGGGCAGAGGTCAAGGGTGTGAAGCCCCGGTATGGGGTTAGAGATTCTTGGTTAGTGACCCACTTTGGGGATTTCTGGATGCAGTTCAGAGACAGGGTGCAAGAAAATGCATCAGGGTATCAGATTAGGGCAGGGAGTTAAGACTGGGTAGCCTGGGTTGGAGTTTCTGGCCAGCTCAAGTTGTAGAGCATCCAGGGTTCAAGCCCAATACCCTGTGCTCTGGGATCTAAGTCCTGGCTCAGAGTTCAGGTTATTGATTCTTGTTGGAGTCTGATGTTCACAACTGGGGGCTTCGATCGGCACACAGAGACAGGGCTGTAGGATGCCAGGTCCTAGAGGTGAAATCATTGATTGGCCTAATAGTTTCTGACTCACTGACCCACACTCAAGGTTAGGGACTCTGGTGGCATCTGATTTCTAAGTTAGGGTCTCAGGTCAGCAGGTGAGGTTAGGTTTAGGTGGGGAGACCTGGTTCTGGGGTTCAGAATCTCCAATTAGAATTTCTGCTCAGAGTCACAATATTTGGGACCCAGGTCCAAACATGGTTGGAGCCAAGATTCAATCTCTGGGCCTGGGCTGAAAGTTAGGATCAGAAATCTAATTCTGGGGTTGGGATCTGGATCTGGAGCCAGAGCACAGGCAGCAGGTTTGGGGAGCCCAGTCCTGAGGTTGAGGCTCAACAGTTGGTGTCTCTGGTCAGAGTCTAGGGTTGGGGTCATGGGTCAGGCCACGGAGGTCAGATCTGAGAGAGTTCCATTTGGGAGTCGGTGTCTCTGGCTAGGACCCAGCATCCCGGGTTGCTGCATGGGGTCAAGCACTCTGGTCGGTCCCATGGAGCTCTGCACTGCAGCTTCCCTCTCACAGGCCCCGCAGGGCGCCCCCTGCCTCTGAGGATGAGTCACTGCAGCAGCCGCGCCCTGACCCTGTTGAGCAGCGTGTTTGGTGCGTGTGGCCTGCTCCTGGTGGGCATCGCGGTCAGCACT